TTTTTTTTATTTTAAGTATTATTCAATCAGAAAAAGAATATACTTTTTGGACGAAGATGTACCCTACAATCAATAATTAGGTTAGAAAAAAAAGATGTGCGTAACCAAAATCTTGTGATGACGGTTACTGTTTTTGTAGAAACTGTAGGAATGATCTGTCTTAAGTTTATCAAATGTCAAATGTTTTATGCATATTCAGAATGAGAAAAATTGTTAACATTATATAAAGAAGTCGAGTCTGAAATCTCTATTGACCTGGAGAAGGGCGCGTTGCTACTGAAATGCTATTCAAACGTAGGTTAATTCAAATTTATAATACTAGTAGGCTACATAACTTATGTACTATCTACAGAGTGGGTGCAGAGAGATGGACAATATTTCAACATGTGTTATTTAGTTGTATCGTTGGCAATCATGCCACATTTTTTTTTCTGCTCATACCAGACATATTGAATTGGATACGAGATGATCTGTCATAGCTGTTCTTCATCTTGGAACCTCCAGAGTAGTTTTCAACAATAAGTGCACTGAATAGAACAAATACTAGTACTCCAGCTGAAATTACTTCCAAAGGATAGAGATCACTGAGGATAAACTGTTAGTCCCCCAGAAGAGGGTGTAAATACTTTGGCACTGACATTCTTATAGACACTCTGTAAAAGGACTTTGCATGTTCTATGAACTTGTACTCATTTTTGTTTAGGGGCCAGCAGAAACCCGCCTCCGGGTGCGGGATTTTCTGGCTATGTTGAAGACCCATTGGTGGCCTTGTGCTGTTTGACACATTCCCCGTTTCCATTCTCATTTTTAATTGCATGCATATTTAATTTAGGTCCTTTGTTAGTATAAAATTCGAAGGACTTATATTTAAAATGATGATGTCGCTAAATTAATAATGTTGCCTTCGCTTTTTCACCGCGTTAAATATCTTCGTCATTGTTAAATACTAAATATTAATTTAAAACTTATTCTCCATGAATTAAAAGAATATTTTCTATAATTGCTGTACAAAAGACAGATGGGTAAACATCGAGTAGTCCGATTACTTAAATATCTTTAAATCTGAAAGATTGTTACTATATGTTCGACTTATGAGTTTGAAAGTCCCTTTGGTATCTTTTGCTTCTCTTTTGGAATAGAGCAGTGCTCTTATCTGTAGTATATGTTTAATAATAAGTTAGTACACACGGTATTATTTGTAGTATCTATTAATCTTTTAGGATTAATCTGACCGTATGACTATTAACACAAAGAGCCCAATAGGATAGTGGAGCCTTAGTAATTTATTCCTTATTTTATTAGACGTTGTATTATGGTTAATTGATTTGCTTTTGACCGGACAGATCTTAAAACGCAGAAGAAAATAGGATATCATAATAATTGCGATTATTCACCAGCCCAGTATATAGCACTTCTGTGTTGACATGAAGTATCATTGATATGGTCATAATAATATGAAATTGACTGTTTATAAAACTTTGAATTTTTCGAAATACTAAGGATTTTCTACCCCAGGAATATATTACCTTAGCCTTATTTGACAAAACCTTTCGGAAGTTTTGGTCCTCAATGCTCTTCAACTTCGTACTTTATTTGCCCTTTTTAACTTTTTTTATTCGACTTCGCTGGTGAGTCTTTTTTGGACGAGAAGCGCATCTGGCGTGCAAGAATTTAATCCTGGTATCTATGATGAGTTTATTTATGCTAATGTGTATTGTATGCTCTGCTATATCCTTTAATAGTGAGATAAAAGAAATAAAAGTTGTCCTTTTAAGAATTTTGTGTTGATGGCAGATTTTTCAAAGTCTCTGTAGTCATTCACTTATACCCATTCTCTTCCTTTATTCATACGAAGACCATTTTTGATAAAATTGTATTTTCATGAACGATTCTCTAACTGGTTTTTGTTTATCTTATTTAATTGATTGCGTTATAGTGGAGTGACCAAGCCAACAAATTTTCAACTTTAATAGACCACCTTAACTGCAGGCTGAATTTTGATTTTTCGTTTAGAGAAATGTTAATACTTTAATTTTTGCCTGGTCGTAGAGTTGAAAAATGGTGCATTTTTTTTAAATTTGAGGTCAAAGTTCGATAATTGAGATTTTCATTAACGTTAACAAATTTCACTAGGGGTAATTAAAAGTCAGAAAATAATATCTGATTTGTGAAATAGGCAAGAAATTATTCCTTAAATGAAAGAGTAAATAAAAGCGAATAATTTCGAAAAAAATGTAATCACCAAATGCCAATGTTTATGGAAATTCAGCCGGGCAACAAGAAAAAGGCAGAGACGAGACAGGAAGTTGCTTTCAATTGATATTTTTTACATTAAATGTACGTTTAAAGATATATTTATGAACTTTACGGTTTCATAAAAAAAAGAATCAAGGAAAATTGTGTTTCTATTAAATTAAATACCGGTTGCCAGCGGCAAATATTACACTAGGTAACTGAATAAAATTGTATCAATGAAGTACTGTTGGTTAGCTTAAGTTATATTTTTCTGTTATGAACATTAAGATTGAAGGGGCAGGAATTTTGACATTAACAGCCTACTCAGAACCTTCTCAGAAAAGTTGCTGCAAGGGTGCATTAATAGTATCCACACTCCATGAGTGCTATACTGTAGTCCATTTGTACAATAATTTTCCGAATATTTCTGACTTTACATTTATTGTTCAGACATCGTTTTCATCATCGTCGTCTTCGGAAATGGCTTAGTGAGTAAGATGATTCCTACAGCCCATATACCATCCACACGATTAAATACTTGTACAAGACAAATTATGTGTGTTGCATAAACAGTTTTTATTTCAAGCTCTTTACCCTTGCATGTAAAAATAAGGTCTTTTAGAATTTCCGATGACATGGGTCCCTCGAAGAAAACCGGTATGTGTTCTCAATTCTTTAAACACATGTATGGTCTTTAAAAACAGTAAAAAAATCTTCAATAGTTTCAGTTGGATGAGACAAACTAATTAATTATGACAGTAAAGGAACACCATCCATACGTTTGGTTTAATATACTTTTTTATGTAGTTTATGTATATATGCGTCAATTGAAAAATGTTTCAAATAAAGAAACCATGAGAGCCTCATAGGGCAGTGTTGATTCTGGAATATCACGTTTAAACTGTTTGCATAATTTTCATAATCATATTGCTCAGCTAAAACCAATATTATACCAACTGTTGATATATAAAAGATAAAAACCCATGAAATCCTCCTATTCTTATAATGTGGAAGTAAATAAATTCTGCCATAGACCAATTTTCTTGTAGGGCAACAACATACAATTGCTGGTCAAACGTTTGCAAAACATTTTAATGAACATATCTAAACATTGTTTCATAGTGGCATATACAATAAATGTTGCCATGTTGCTAGGTTTTGTGTCTATGACTGTAGCGTAGGTTAAAAACGTATCCTTAAATTTGAATTATGATAGGCTTTTGTAAAAGCCGGCAGGAATTGGGACAATTTTTTCAGTATTCTCTGCAAACATGGGAATTTGATCTAAGCTTTGTCATGAAATAAGTCGGAGAAACATCCAAGATATGTCAGATGTATCTATGTTTTCCTTAAAACAAAACTCAATGTCGCCGTTAGCAAAGGGAAACAAGGTCAATATATGTTTTTTATTTTATCTTGTCGATTGGTCAGCATGCCATAGGTTTTGTATTAGAATCATCAAGCGTCACAGATATTTCTAGTTCAAGTTTAACCTTTAAGGAACCTAGAATAGCGTTTGCTGTGTCTTTTTGTACTGAGAGACTGCCGTAGCTATGACGTGACAGGTTTTTTTTAACCATGAATTCCCAGCATTGATGTCAACATTATATGCTCCCTCCTGTATTATATGACCACCTTCTTTTAATGTAGCAATGGTGTTGAGTAAGTCCCATCGGATATATCTAGTGACTGCGTTCAACTAGGAACTATTGGAGCGGCTGCATGTAATGTTTAGTCTTCATTTATAGTTATTGACTTAATTCAAGTTTCAATTTCTGACAGTATTTTTTCAGAATCCAACATTTGATTCTCCCTCCTCTTGTTTTGCTGTATAACGATTGATTTTTCACACTGTTTTTTCTAAATGTTGTTAATTCGTGTAATAGGAAGCAACAGTAGATTTTATAAAGAAAAGACAGGACATAGGATTTTGGTGAACAAGCAAGTCTTTATGGATGAAACCATTCAGGCAACAAGAAGCCTTTTCGTAAAATATCCAACTCATCGTTTAATCATTTTTTCTTTGGAATGCTAAGTAAAATCATAACCAAGCAAGTCATGTAGTGAAGGGCCTTGGTTTGTGAAATAAGACTGATTTTATTTCAAAATCTCGTTTTTGTCCGATAATTGTACTTTTTTTTTAGTCCTTCATCAGTTTCATCAGTTTCAGTATAACGTAGATGTTTGTTGCGTTTGTACGAATTGTGCTTCCAGAAGGTACTAGCAGTCTAGTCAAAAGGGGTGGACATTGATCTGATCAGAATAGACTAGGAACAACATGGTTGATCATCGAAAAAAAAAATTTCAGCCTGCAGTTATGCCGGTCCATTAAAGTTGTAAAATAAACACCTTTTTCTTGATTTGTCACTCCTCTATTATTATTTATTTGTTTTTAAACTTCACCATCCTTTAATTTTAATGTCCACTAATTCAAAAGAACGACAGAAGATATATCTAGCTATTTTTAAACGATGAATCAAAAAGTAAAAAGGTGTTTGTTTTTGACAACAACCTTTACAATAAAAGTTACAAAGTACAATTTGTGTTAGTCTTTGACTTTAAATAATTTATCATATGAATAAAATCGTAGGATTTTTTCTTAAATTAATCTTCTGCAAATTTTGATTAATTGTTAAATTAAACAAATAAGGTCATATTTGATAATATTTGGTATAAAACTGCATAATTAATCTTGTTTGGTTTTTTGTTGCATGTCTAATACATCTTCTTTTATTACCAAATGTGTATTATATAAGCCCTCTAGAACCCAACCTTCAGCACCACACCAGACCATCGTACCAAAGCTGAACAAGTAAGAATCGATTAATTTTTTCGAATTTCTTTTTCTTTTTTAATAATATCTTTTTTCTCGAACTTCTTTTTTTTATATAGTATTTTATAATAATTAAGGACATTTACTTTCATCTAAGATTTTATAGCTTAAATTTGGTTTATACTTTTGCAATCCTCTCATTGCGTAAATTCAACACGAGCTTCCTCTGCAATGTGTTTACTTTTGTTAGTCTTGTGTAACATCTCCATTCAGTCACGATTTTCAAGATTTTTAAAACATCAGAATATTGCTGAACTTAAATCCATTCTTTTCGACTTGGAAATTCACATTGTATTTTCAAGCTTCTCATCGACCCTACTCTAGAAAAGTATTGGATAAAAGTAGTTGCTGTACTACTCAATGGTCAGAAGTCCTAAAATATTCCTTTGAATTTGACAGTTATAGGAAATTTACCCAGCATTTCATTGCAGAAAAAAAAATGGTGAGCCATAAACACATTTCTTGGATGTTTCAAAGCTCCAGTTTTTGTTTATCTTTATTAAATATTTTGGAAACTTGAGGTGACATGGTTACTAAAGCTTGTTAACAGGAAAACAAGTGATGAAACTTTGATTGGGTAACTTTGGGTGATGGTTATTATCTTATATGCAATGAAATGTTATGTGAAACTTTCGCCGTAGTACTGTACAGCATAACACTTTACTCATGCCAAATATTTCTTTATTTGGAACAAAGATAAATTCTGCACAATTTTTTGAAAGTCCCAATTTAACAAAGACTAATAGGAGGAAAACAACGGTGGTACTACTACTAAAGAGGGAAGCTGCACATTCAACTTTGACCTTGTATGTACTCTTATTCGTTTTAATTTCATGCTTTTTCACTGTTATATTCCAAAATGAAATGTTTTGAGAGGATAGAGTCTCAAAAACATATCTAAGAGGAAATTGCCTTGAATATTAGTAGGCAGAGCAAGTCATATTCAGTGTTTTGGGGAACTTTTTCTGACTTTTCTCCTTATTTCCGATATAATGCTTTAAGAGAAAACTTTTGCTAAACACTTCTTTAGGAAATATTCAGTAATAAGTAAATGCAATTATTTTTGAAGCATTAACAACAATTATTCACTTAGAGGGAACCATTTTATGTCCCTCTCTGGGACGCGGCGTAAACTTAAGTTTTACGTAAGGACTTCATGAAACCTCCATAGGGTCAGTAAACTTTTCTATTGATATTTCATTCAGCTTGAACACTAGCCATCTATTATTACATTTCTTACATAGATGTGTGAAAGGTACCACAACATTTTGATTTATTAGCCTCATAAGTTTTTTTTGCGGGAATGAGAGGTCCAAATGGACCTTATAACGAAGACAAAGAAGTCCATTAGTGATGTTTATCATCTTAGAGAGTCATCTGTTGAATCATATTCGAATGTTTTTATGTAAATGAGATGTATGTTTTATCATTTCTTTGTCTACACTACATTCTATCATGATGCGGCGTGATTTGGATTTTTCGAAGACATTTCGCTCAAATCGGTGTAGGTGTTGTCTTACATTATACTGAATTTCTCTGAAACTATTGAACTGATTATGACAAAACTTGACAGTAATGCTTCAAATAACCAGTATTTCAAACTTAAGAAATGAGATTCAGTTTATTCAACAAACAAGTCTTCTTTAGGTGGGATCATACTCCTTAAAAGTTAGATATGTTAGAACGCGTACATTTACATTGTTCTTAATTTGTATTACATTTGAAACAATCTGCTCCAAAACTATTGAGGTGCTGTTAGATAGATATCCAATGGCTACATATTTCAAATAGCGTGTGATCTTTTTGTTGTGGAATATTAATTTCAAAGATCATGTTCTTTATTGTAAATTCTTTTTTATTCATATTTTGTGACTAAAAAGTAAAATCACAAAAATACTGAACTCCGAGGAAAATTCAATCGGAAAAGTCCCTAATCACATGGCAAAATCAAATGACAAAACACATCAAACGAATGGACAACAACTGTCATATTCCTGACTTGGTACAGGCATTTTCAAATGTAGAAAATGGTGGATTGAACCTGGTTTTATAGCGCTAAATCTCTCACTTGTACGACAGTCTCATCAAATTCCGTTATATTTACAACGATGCGTGAACAAAACAGACATAATAAATAAAATAGTCAAAATATGGGTACAGCAGTCATCACTGTGGAACAATATCAAAACAAACAATCATTTACAAAAAAGCACAAAAGCATCTATCAAATTAAAAACCACATTCATTCTGACGTCAAAAAATGTTTACAAACGTCACATAAGAAGAAATTTTGTCGTTCAATGTTTATTCAAAACAATTTTATAATTTCACATGGGGAATGTTGGTATACAGGGTTAAAAAATCAAAAGTTATGTTAGAATTAATTTCAGAAATAGACCGAGATAAAACAAGCCATTTTTTCATCGACAAATATTGTAATTTTTGTAGCTGTACTACACAAAATGTATCCGAATGAGGCATAACGAAAGTATGTCCATAACTAATGAACATTAATAATAAAACTTCATACATACTTTACCATCCAAGAATATCGTACATTCACATTTTTTATTTCGGTCACCTTTGATAGTCGAAAAGGGAAAACAAGCATTTTGTATGTTAAAATGTCTTGTATAAAATGAAAAAAAAACTGACCCAATACAATACTGCAGTATTTTTATATTAAATTACGAGTCTGTTCAAGACTAGTACAAGTATAGCTAAGTGGGAGTTAGTGTGGTCGACAGTTGAAAGGAAGGTTTACTCATCAAATAAAATTTTTGTGGTAAAAAAAGTTTTTGAAAGTTTTTTGTGTGCACATAACAACTAATGACAAGCTTTTTAGCACTCTTCTGTCACCTAGACTTTTTTGTATGAGCTTATTGCGAATGTCATACAAGGATTTCTTCAGAGCTAGGAAATGATATTAGTGCTATATTTTAGCTTTATGTTCATCTCTCCCATGTCTTGAAACTAAATAATTCACAGTTCGATAATATTCGTTCTTGATATGCTGGAAATACTTGAAAGTAGATTTAAGACAACAATAATCAATATTAGATTAAATATTTTGATGACAAGGGAGTTCGTATCTCTCCTTTAAACTTCAAATAAATAATACATCTGGAACACGTTGCTATGCTGCATCTCAGCACGTACATAGAAAGGTACAATATACGTCGGTTGAGTACTACACTATACAACCCAGAGATGAGTTCAATTTTCTCATTTTGAACTTTCTATTCTTATAACAATATTCCACATCACCCGTTCTAACAAATGAATAAGCTAATACAATATTCCGTAGTTTATGTTTTCTATCAGGGTTTCTTCGTAGCTAGTTGCTATGAAGCTACTGGTTTTTATCGTTAGAAAACTTTGTTGACGGTTACAGAATACCTGTTCAATTTATATGCTTTATTTGTCGTAGCCATACACGAGGGTTTGGATGGAGGATCCTTCATATTCATTTCTGTATTCTTTAATTTTTAGGCTATTTTTCTCTATTCTTTATACTTTTTGCCCTTTTCTCTATTCTTATTCTTTTGGTCCATTTTCTCTATTCTTTTTATTTTTTGCCCATTATTCTCTATTCTTTATACTTTAGCACCTCATTATTCTCTCTTTTTTTATTTTTTTGGTCCATTTTTTTTATATTCTTTATATTTTTTGCCCATTATTCTCTATTCTGTAAACCCCCATCCACATCCTCATACACATATTTCTGCATTGCCATGAACAAGACGACATATTTGTACATTGCCATGAACAAGACGACATATTTCTACATTGCCATGGACAAGACGACATATTTCTACATTGCCATGGACAAGACGACATATTTCGCAAACTGGAGAAGGACATTCGTATTACGAATAGATGTTTTATTCAATGTATCTATGTTTTGTCATACAGTCAGGGAGTTCTGACACGTATGATTTGCGAAATGTACCCCACGTATATTACTAATTGTAAATGCAGGCTATTGTAAAATGACATTGTATTATGGATAATATTAACAAACAATTAATTTGTTTCATACAAAGTTACCAAGTAACGGATGTGTCCCTCTTTGCTGACCTCGATAATGAATGTACAATATTAAATTAAAGTGTTGTGAGCTTTAAATCGAAAACAGATTACATTTTTATCTAACTTTTATTTTTCGCGTCCGATTTGGTGTACTGTTGCAAAGTAAAACTTCAGCTCTTATCCAACGTGCCCTTATTTTTAAGCGGAAGTCGAAATCACCGCCTTTCATCCTGGTCGATTCGCTTTGCTGAACCTACTTGGTTTAATTTTTTCATAATATGCCAGAAATATTTGCCGCCTTACGAACAATTCAACCTTACATATGCAAGCTATTCCCTATTAGTCTAAGAACTAAGAAACTTTAATAAAAATGTGGTATTATAGTTTTGATTCATATGCAGTATATGGAATAGGAATATATATGATCGATAATTTGATGTATAGATGCGATTATTTTCACAACAAAACAATGACGACTACGTTTGTAAATAGACAGTATTGTTTAATGTATATATTTATTATATACAACACTACCTGGCACACGAATGATATAATTTGAGCTATTTAAAAAGTGAAACTAAACAGAACTATAAAACAACTTATTAAGAATTGATTATGTTTTCGTTTACCGCAGAATGAAGATCGCAATTTTCGTATTACTTGCCGTCTGTAGCGCTGTAAGCGCCCACTATGTTAAAGGAGGATACGGAGGATATGGTGGATATGGCGGATCTGGTGGATATGGAGGAGGATATGGTGGATATGGTGGATACGGAGGAGGATATGGTGGATACGGAGGAGGATATGGTGGATACGGTGGTGGATACGGTGGTGGATACGGTGGTGGATACGTAGGATCCGGACACGTATTTGTTGTTAGACCATATTATGGTGGTGGATACGGCGGATATGGCGGTGGATACGGAGGAGGATACGGTGGATACGGTGGATACGGAGGTGGATATGGTGGATACGGTGGATACAGTGGTGGATACGGTGGTGGATACGGTGGATACGGTGGTGGATACGGTGGTGGATACGGTGGTTATAGTTCTTCAAAGAAAGGTAAGAGAATGTTCCTTTTAATATTTTTAAATTAATTCCTGGTCGGATTTTAGTTAAACATATACAGGTTTAGTTTTATTTTTTCTAAATGATTTGAACAGATGAAAGGAAATGGTATTTACCAAGCATATTTTCCTGAACATTTCTGTGCAACACATGTTTTATTTAGCAAAAAGTTAAAAAAAATAATTGCATTTGTTGTCGTCATAGTAGTTCCTACATTACGACTGTCCAGTAAGATTTGTTTGCATGTGCAACCCAAAAGGAATAGTCTATAAGCATTTAATTCGTTAAGGTATTGGCATTCAATCTTCAAAGGTCTGTATATGATCAAATATGTTGAAGGTTTATAAATTAGACTACTACTATCTCGTTTCAAATATATTGTCTGCTAAATCCGGACAAAGTCTTCAAAGAATGCGAATGTCCAATATTTGATTTGATAAGAGTCTCATTAATTGTTAGAATTTAGAATTTGACACAACTAACAGGTAAGAACATAAACGATATAATTGTGAAGCGGATATTTTGCAATACAATTGACTTTTTTTCTGTTGCAGGAGGATATTATTGAAGATCCTAACCCAAAATGAACAATGGATGATGTTCGAACATTCATCTTAAAATATAATCGTCGCATTTAATTTGTGTTGAAATTTCTTTCACTAGTCCAATAGTTACTTGTATAGCATCTCTACACTCAAATCGCACAGTACGCATTTTTGGAGAGAACGTCTTCTTCGGAAAATTCTTGACTAAAATAAGATTTTATGCAGAACATGTAGTGTCATTGGACTCCATCATATATTTTTTTACATAATTATAACAGAATTTTATTCTTATCAAAAGTCCGGTCCAATCTATCATGGCTCATTTGTTCCATGTATGCCGTTTGGTACAAAGATTCACAATTTTCAATATAATAGTGGACAGTATTGTCGTTTGTCGTGTACATACAACCATCATCATGACTATACATAAAATAGACTTTTAACAATAAAATCAAAATAAAGTCATTTCCAACATTATTATTTGGTAGAGCTTTACTGCAGTTGAGTTATTTTAAGTCATAGAAGAGTTGAAGATATGTTGGTTTAAAACGAGCTTCTTAAAAGTACTGCATTACCACCATGCAGTGTAAGATATTAGACAAAACCCATTCTGAATATGTAATCATGCTTTACTATTTACTGACCTTAAGACATTAGGCCAATTAACATTTAGTTTCCGAAGTAAAAAGTATTTGTCACTTATATTGCAAACACTCCATTTTCATAATTTTTTTTTCAAAGATTGTCTCAGTGACAACATAGCATACCATAGTCACAAATATTGCAAGTCTTATTTCTCACAGTCATGTATGCCAGAAAATAAGGAAAGTGCGAGCCAGATGAACCAAAAACTAGACACTTTATCAAAAGGTTGAATGAGAAAACCTTGAAGGTTTGAGATTGACTAGAGCTTTACAATTGGTCTAACTTTTCTTTAAGCTTTTGAAACATGGACACCCAATCATGTTTGATTTTGTTTTTGACATATTTTAAAGGCTGCTCTAAGATTATTAACAAATACATTTGATAGAGAAGCAAAGGATATGGGGTATCCATCCATGACTCAAAATCAGTACATGCACAGCAATAAAACAAAAAAAGCAAAGAAGCAGCGCATTTGTCAAGACTGATATTGCAAATGAGGAGTTTTAATCCTTTCTGAATTCAAAAACCGTATACTAATATATTAACTAATTCCGTTGAAAAGCCAATAAAAACACTGATATTTTTTTTCTGTGTAAAAAGCAAGGTTATTCTTCTGATTTTCCTCCAAAATAGAAAAATGTAATAGGAATTCTAAAAGAAAAACAACTACAAACACCCGAGTTTTCCGAAATAAAGAAGACGTACAAACAAAGACAAACAACAACAAACAACAACAAACAACACGTGGTCAAGATAACCTGACATTTGAATTATTAATTTTGACAAGGTCATTAGTCCCCAATATCATTGCAAAAGGCATAATTGGTCTCTTTTGCGAAGAACTATACCGACCGTGTACTGCTGTTTTACAATTCAAGATGGTGGTATACAGTTAATCTATCTTAAAGTCCTTATCATGTCTGCACACGTCCAGTTAGAATGATTTTTATATCTTTTATGACCATTCAAATAGTTTACCGAACTTACTTTTTATCAGATTATTTATGAGTAGTGTATAGGGTACACAAATCATGAACATACAAAGTGTTAGATACATGACCAAAGGAGAATTGATATAATAGCCAATGAAACCGACATCTATATAAACCAAATGAAGATTGTCTTCAACAATGAGCAAAACATATGCCATAAAGTGTGCTATAAACAGCAATCGAATGACAAAATGAAGAAGAATTCAAAAGGAAAACAGACGGACTGCTTTCTACTACAACAATAAAAGAAAAACAATAATGGCATACAGCAACTAACTCCAGGGTTTGGAAAATAGACAACTTTCAAATATCTTGCTACAATTTCAAATTGAACCTTTAAGAATTATAGTTTATTTAAAGTACCAAACGGTTTAGATCGTATGTTAATTTAGGAGCTCTTTCATAATGCTGTAACAGTTAGTGCCGCCAATTATGCTGCGGGTTTCGAATCATTCAACATATTATAAGTATTAGATCACAGTATTATTTGTATTTCATGTTAACATAAGATTGCTGATACCCTCGGGGACGAAACATTCAACTGCAATAGCATCAACCCGATGGTTGTAAAAGTTTATCATAACTACTACGCCCATGTTTTTGTATTCCAGAGGCCGTTTTGTTTAAATCAGATTCAGCAATGGTACTCGACTATAAACAGTTGGAAGGCATAATGAAATACAATGTTGAAAATCATTGAAAACCAAGTATTCAAAAAGGGTGTGCCAAATACGGTCAAATCAATATATGTCGTATGGTAAAAAAAGGAAGGATTTTGAATAATTCATGTTTTTATAACTGTAAATTTGAGAATTACCGTATCGATGATATGTATGTCCGCACTGGAGTGCTGAATATTTGACAGGTGATACACTCGGATGATATACAGATTACGTTGATTAAAATATTATAAAACATCATTGCAGACACGGGCATAGGGAAGGAGCTACTAAGATTTTTACCTGAATTGTTTAGACTCAAAAAATAATTTACGCCTGTATTTTAATAGTCTTTATTGCTATATTGAATTATGACATTGTTAATGGTCGTATGTGCAAATATCAGGAGAGCTTCCGAAGTAGTACTAATACACCTACTAAAGGTTATTATAAAGCGGTATTAATCAAGAATTTTTGTCTTTTTTTGGAAACCAGTAGATATTGGGAACACTTAGATTTAAAGTTGACTCTTGCGAATTTTCAGTTTCGACTATTTGTTTTTCTTTTACATTTTCCTTTAAAAAATGTCCTAAATGTGTTACAATTTTGAACATCAGCATACTAGTATACGAAGTCAACGTCATACATACGTCAAGCAAAACCATCTTTGTCTTATCAGTCGGTACTGAGGCAAACGTTTTTTTTTTCATTTCATGCTGTTTAGACCTGCACTTGTATCCTTTTTTCTCAGGTCTATCCTCTTTGTTTTTCTAACACACAAAACTGTTTGACGAAAGTAAGAAGTCAACACAAAATCCCGGGATGGTTTGTTCATAATGTGTATTTTCAAAATCCTTTAGTTAACTGCCTAGTACATGTAGTAAAAATTAAAGCGTTGAATTGAAAAAAGTACGTTCACTCTTTTCTTCGTGATCACAATTGTCTTATCCTGTTTGTCATTGACTCAATTTTGATGGTGTTAGACTCTTTTCATTATCTATTACGGACGCTATGAGCTGTAAAGCACATTTATGGAATTCATGGCTGGTTTTCAGTCCAATTTTGCCTCATTTACGTACGATGTTGTATGTTGTTGTTGGAATATGATATTGTTGTTTGGTCATAAGATTACTGAGTATTTTCTAACTTGGGAAACGGAAGCTTTGAATTCAATTCGAATCGGGTGACTTGAAGAACATTCGGAAATTATTTTCACCTCAAACAATTCCCAAGACAATCCGAACTTATAATTAAAAGATAGGATATTAAACTACTCGTGTGAGCTTTAACACGACACATATTTGTATTATTGTCGACACACAAAATAGGACTGTTCATTTAGAAGTAAAGATAATGCCTCCAACACTGCTTCCGCGCTATTTTATGAGTTCTATTAATTAATCTTACTGTCTATCTACTTCTGGGACTTGAATTACTTTTCATACTCCTCATTTTGAAATTTCATTGTCATGTTGCTGACCAAATTCATATTTTTGCGAGCCTCTTGTCTATCTTACAATGGTCTTACAAATCATCTTGTCAATAGACGTATTTACACTTGTATGCAAATTTGTCCGCCATTACGTAAAACCATACAGGTTCCCGTAAACTTTGACATCATAATTTAAACATTTGACGTCACACTTGAAAAGTGATTGTTGCCTGACGTCAAAAGGTGATTCGGAGTAGATCTAAGGTCATTCGGAGGCAAAATATAGCTAAATACCAAAAGTGTAAATACGTTTATACTAGAATCCACTAGATTGTTCTGACATGTGGCTTTTGAGAGTTCAGGCTTGATTAAAATTTGAATCGTGGATTATTTCACAAATGCATACAATTACCTGAAATTACAGAAGGATAATCCCTATCAATTAAATGTTCAAACATTTTTCTTTTGTTTAAAAGATTTTATCATTTCTCTTTTAGGTTTGGTTACTTTTTTTTTTTTTTTTTGCTCTTTTGGTGATATAACCCTTCAACTGTTTTACCTCTTTAAATTCAGTTGTTTTATCCTGGGCTTTCACTTTTTAAGTTTGATCGTTCTTGAAAGTAATTCAAGAAAAGCGCTTTGGATGCAACAAATTTATAAAGTGTTGTTATCTTTATTTCTGAAGGATAAGTATTTGATCAAGTAGGAATCGGATTTGACAGATCTGACTTGATCACATGAAAGGATATATTGTAATTTCTTAAGGGGGTACATAACACTACTGGGAGATAACTCTGTGAAAATCAGCTGAACGTTTTAATCACGTTCTATTGTTAAGGAAATATTAAGCTTCTCAATGATCAAAATTAGTGTTTGTCAAACTGCTATATATCCAATGTAATTTTTCCGATAAAGTGTGTGGTTCAAAATTTTCGAGTTTTTATATTTTTGTCAAAGGGTCAAAGTAAATATTTTGTCAAAATTTTATGAAAATTAAACGAGCTAAATTAATTTTAGTCAAGATGTTTGGTACCACCTTAATTGCGATTGTTTTTAATGTAAATAATGCGACTGAGTGAGTACCGTAACAGTTAGAACTCTTATTCTGATATCTGATACATAATTGTGTTTAAAGCCTTTCCTGAAATCGCAAAAATTAATCTCGCATGTTAGCCCAGTCTGCAAAATTCGCAATAATAAATGCACACAATAGTTTCTGAATTTACAATATATTACCAAACAAATCATTAGTCTATGCCTTACCTTTTTCTTTTTTCTTTTTTTTTTGGCTCAACCTTTGAATTAGCCAAAATATTTTGTGTGGACTTATATACCTATATGGAGTTATTATCTCCCAGAACGATA